ATCTCCCCTTCTTCTTTTTTATGTTTGTTACTCTCTTGTAACACCTCTAATCTTCTGGCGCTCATATGACCTTATGCAGTTGCGAGCGCCGTAAAACCTCTACTAAGATAGATGGCAAAGGGCAATATGTACCAGAATTATCCTGATAAATACGATGATTATGATAAATACGATGATTATGATAAATACGATGATTATGATAAATACGATGATTATGATAAATGAAAGGAGACTGAATAATGATGATGAGAATCTATGATTGCAATGATGATGCTGTTTATTATTAGCATTTAGTATTTATCTGGCGTATGCTTTATTATATATTCCGTACAGGATATTGAGGTCGTCTATGTGGTATATGTTGTATTGGTTTTATTCTGTACAGATTATTGAAGTGCTTAACGAGGAAGGACTTGAATGTCACGTATCTGGAGCAAAGCGACTCTAGCAGTCTGTGCTGGGAGAGAGAGAATGTTGAGCTTATCTCAAACTGACGACTAGACGACTAGACCTGGGCAGTTGTGAAGACCTGACAAGTGACAAATGGTCCCAGAGGCCATTACAACACATTTTTCCCTAGTTCTTTTCATTTGTTCACATTCTTGTCATTAAAAGTTGTACACACATTTTGGTAAACTCTGTGTCAGTTTGCTTCTTTGAATCGTCTCCCGTTTGCCGCATGAGTTGTTGAATTTTGTACATGTTTAAGAAGTCTGTATCTTTGCGCCGAGTATGGACCGTGCGCTCTGTTTGTAAGACACTTTTGCTGCGATTGTCAATTCAGAACACGGAAGTGTTGACTTTGAACATTTCTTTTTTTTTTTATGCCGCGCGAGGATCTGAGGATATGCGCCGTTTATTACGCAACAAGATGGCTGTTGCCCGTGAGACGTGTATATATACATATATATAATTCCGAAATCTACAGGGTGTCTAAGCTATTATGTTTTGATACCATATTCACACTAGTACTGTATGTTTATTTAGAACAGTTGTCAAAATAGACCATTTGAAGAACAGTGGAGTGTGCTCAAACCAAACTCGGTTAATCCAAAAACAGCGGTAAACCGAGAGAAAATCGAATTCCCCAATGATTTTCTTCGCAATTTGAGCAATCTCTGGGGTCCCCCCCCCCCAACGCTTATATTCTGTTGTTTTCACTTGAAACAAAAGTTGGCCAGATAAAGCTATTAACTTTGGCTGTTTTTTTTCCCCTCAGAATGGCGAAGCGCGTCCTGATTGGTTGTACAGGGAGTGTGGCCTCCATCAAGATTCCTCCCCTGGTGAACGCTCTCAGACAGTCGGGCTTTCAGGTCAGGCAGACTCTCAAGCCGAAGTAACGGAAGAAAGTGTGGATTGTTGAGGCTCTACATGTGTGGCATTGTGGAGAAATCGGGTGCTCGTCAAGACGGACATTCGAAGAAACCAACAGTTTTCAGCTCATTGAACAATTTTTGTTTGATTATTTGGGGGGAGCTTGTTTTTTGGGGGTTGTTTTTTGCACAACATTATTTATTTCCATTTAAAAGTATATAATTCTATATGGATTTTACAAAACAATGTTGAACAAAATTACAAAAAATGTGAATTTTCCGTTTCCAAGGACACTCAAGCTTTGGTAGTTCCTTGCTAACTTTTGTTTACCTCTGACAGCAGTCGAACCCAACCTTTTTCAGAGGCAAATATCTCGACTTCTGTTTTTAAGATAAATT